AATTTCTTTCTCATTTTTTATTTTGGCAAAAAACTTTTAATGGATGTGTCATTACATCCTTGTTGTTTGTTCACATTATTCGCTTTATCTATCACATCAAAGGCAACACATGAAAAATCTTTATACTTTTAACTTTTTGCTTAATCTTCGTCTCAAGTCAAATCGCAAAAGAAATTATTTTTGGACGGAGGGAATATATTCCATTTTCTCTTATTGTATTGTTACTATAATTCTTCTTCTATTATACTTAGAACTCTCTCTTATAATCTCTATATATGGATGTATTCTTTCAAATTATTATCAAATTGTATCGCTCACCCTTAATAAGCAAATGTGAAAATTTGGTCATGTTCATGGAGTATTATATAATATAACTTTTTTTTCCGTAAAAACCAAAACAAAGACAATTTTTGAAAACGTAGGAGTAATTAGGGTAGACAATTAGCAAATTCTAATTGGTTTAGAAGACGCATGTTATTTACTATTATATGTAATAAATAATGTCAAAGTTAAGAAACGAACGTGAGCGTCTGTAGTCCAACGGCTAAAGGATAGTTGCCTTCCAAGCAATTGATCCGGGTTCGACTCCCGGTAGACGCACAATTTTTTATCGTTCCCCTAATTTTTNTAATATAACTTTTTTTTCCGTAAAAACCAAAACAAAGACAATTTTTGAAAACGTAGGAGTAATTAGGGTAGACAATTAGCAAATTCTAATTGGTTTAGAAGACGCATGTTATTTACTATTATATGTAATAAATAATGTCAAAGTTAAGAAACGAACGTGAGCGTCTGTAGTCCAACGGCTAAAGGATAGTTGCCTTCCAAGCAATTGATCCGGGTTCGACTCCCGGTAGACGCACAATTTTTTATCGTTCCCCTAATTTTTTGAGACGCACAAAGTGGCTGCCACATGGCACCATAAACTTTTTTCTTTTCTATATAATGGATGAATGTTGTTAGAATTATGTAATAAGCTGAAGAGAAAAATATTTTTTGTTTAGTAAATCAAAATAATTGTGTAGCATAAATATTTAGTAATAAAAAAACATGTGAGTCACGTAATGATAGAATTTTTAGTAAAGTTACCTTTTTGTGTTGAGAAAATCAATTGTCATGGCATTCCATCTACGTTTTCTTAAACATATTATTCTAATGTTTCTTTTATTAACATATCAATGCGATGTTTTTCTTAAATTTTATAGTTATGTTGCTTGCTACTGTTTTAATTGTAGATTTTCAAAGAGAAGAATAGAGTCATTTCTGTTTGTTCTCATTGTGTATTTTTGGAAGTTGTTTTCAGATGTATTCGGTTCTTGGTATAAAATGTGGGGCTTTACATGTTTTCAGATGTATGTAGGTTGAAGGGGTTGAACTTTCTCCAAATGCAAATCCAATCTCTTATTAGAATTCATATTTCCCAAGTCATTTTTACTCAAAATTGGCTGAATATCTTAACATTAAGATTGAAGTGCTATTTCTATTAGTTTTATCAATTTCTGTAGAGAAATTAACTTCTAAACTGATATAATTGAATCATCCAAAATTATATTCTGTAAAAGACTCTAACTTAGCTGCACATTGAATCAACTACAAATGCTCTACAATATTGTTTTCCTGGCAAATGATCCAAATTAAGTTGAGAACTTCAGCAACTCAACAAAAATGAGTTAACTGTCAAAGGCTACTTAAGTTTCAAAATCATCAATATTCAACAGAGAACTGGATGATGCAACATAGTGGCATGTGATCTGGATGTGTAAAGCCATTGCATTTTAGCTAAGTACTGTGAATTGAACACAGCTATGGAGATGAACGATGCGTCTTTAATGAGCAATTAGGGTTTTTTGAGCAAAGAGATACGCTAATGCCGCGTGTTTTTTAAGTGAAGTAGAAGAAAGATTAGTTTTTGAGGGTGCACTATAAAATTTAGGAAAAGTGAGGGTGCATTCTACTTTTTTGCTACCTTTTGGGGGTCCAAAGTGAGATTTTCCCATTTTATTTCTAGCAGGTTTTAAACTAACCCATCAAGGTTTAGTTCCAAGCAAAGGGAGGAGCTATGAGAAAATGATGGAATTTGTTGTTTAACTTTTACCAGTGAGCCTTGACAACAAGCCCTTCAAGAATTTTGCAGACCTTGCAAGTGGAGAATTCATGGCCATCAAATTGTACAAAACACTCTCAACTTCAGTGATGGATGGCCTTGTTTTGAATGTGGAGATCAGCTTCCACTCTCCCTCTTCTTCTTCTTCTTCTTCTTCAACCAACACATTCCATCTCCCATCTCCGCCGCACTTGAAAATAGCACCTTTTCTTCTGCTCAGCACCCCTCTGACCTCCAACCCAATGAATGAATACACAGTCTCAAATGAGCCAACAAATTCCCTCAACTCCCCAAACATCCCCTCTTCTTCGAATCCCCATTTCGGATTGAAAATTACCACTGGCTTTGGACGCACGCCGCCAGTGATGTCCTTCATAACTTCAACCTGCGAAGGCTCTGGAGCAAGAAACACAATCACATCATTCGAAACTCTGATACTGCCCAAACGACTTGTTACTGAAGAAACCTCAAGGTTCTCAATAATGGCGCCGGAGGAACTAGTTACAAAGGTATTGGCAGCCTCGGCCAAGCTCTTATCGGGCCACAGAATCAGAATCTTGACATTAGAGCCTTTTCTTCTAATGGGCATATTCTCAAACACCTCAACTGCAATCCGCGAGAGTGACTCAGGCGAGTCATCCATCACCGGAATTTCGACTCGGAACCTTGGGTGTTTTACCTTCTTGATCCTGCCGACGAGTTTGGGAACGTTGAGAAGCTTCTCTAAAGTGCTGCAAAGAGAATCCCTCGCCTGAGAAATGGCTTCTTCTCTGCTGCGAGGAGGAGGGGTGGGGGAGGAAAGGGCACAAAGGGGAAATCTTGATCTGCTTAATGGCTTCTTTAACGAAACAGATAAAGAATCCAAGTGAAGATCATGGCGCCGAGGGGAAAAGAAAGATCGATTCTGAATCTGGGTCTGCTTGAAATGGAAATTGGACATTGAAGTGTGGATGGATTGTTGGTGATATTTAACAAGATCTGTAACCATTTGACAGTTTGTAGAACAGTCCATTTAAAGCCAGCAGGGAGCACAACCAGGTCGTAAGAATCGAAGTCCAGTTTGGCTGTTGGGATATAATGGCAGGAGATTCTTCTATAGGTCTATAGTGGGAAGGTATTTGACTGCGGTTTGAAAAACAGTAGAGCTAGCTAAATATGTACCTCATGTGGGATTTGAGTTCAATCTAGTAGTCGGGTGTGTTCGGGCAGGGCGGAGGGTTTACCGTAAGAACAATCAATTTTATAAATGGGTTACCGGAGCATTCTTCGATCATCGTATGACATTATCGTGCATTGTCATGAGAACCTTGTGGCTTCTATAAATGCAAAAATATCATTCCTCTATTATACACACTGACTTTTGAAAACCAATGTTTTTACAGATAAATTCATTCAAAATTATTGTCAAAATTTAGAAAATACATAACTTGCAACTTGAGGTGACAATCTTGCAATTTCTTCATTCAAAAAAAATCTTGTAATCTTAACTTGGAATTAAAACTAGGATAAAGCTACTTGTACCCAACATTTTGTACCTCAATTTGTACCCTGCAGTTTTGCATCAACATTTTGTGTTGGTGTAAAACTAATTTTTGTTAACGCACCAACACTTTGTGTCCGTGTAAATTTTTGTTAACGCACCAACATTTGTGTCGTTATAAACCATCAAAATGTTTGTGTATAACTGCGGTGTACAAATGGGGTACAATTTTTGGTGTAAATGTAGCATGGTCCTTAAAACTAAATTGAAAGGGTAATGCTATTTGTACTCCAAGATTTTGTACCCCATTTTGTACACTACAGAGATGCACCAACATTTTATGTTGGTGTAATGCTAATATTTGTTAACGCACCAACACTTTGTGTCAGTGGTAAATTTTTGTTAACGCGCCTGATGGTGTAAATTACTTGACCGGTCAAAGTATACTAGACCGGGTCTAGAATAGTTTGCTTGATTTGGCAAAATAAGAAAGGTAAAAACACGCAGATTGACCGGTAGGACTTTAGATGGAACACCTGTAGCCCAATTTATATTATAACGGAGAATGCACGGGTGCTTTTACAAGGGAGTTTAGAGAGAATGAATTTGGATCCCTCTTCCTGAGGTTTACATGAGTATTTATACTAGGCCAAGGGGACAAGACCACGTGCGCCCACGTGGGGGCATGCTGCTGATGTGGTGCGAGGTGACTGGTTTCGTCCTCGAGCTGCCTTGTCGCCTTGTGAGGGGGATCATTCCCTTTGTCGCGTAGTGCCTTGGATGGATTCTTCAGCATCTCCAGTTGTCCTCTACTGACATGGGTCGCTACGCGCCAAGCTCTCGTAGATTCTCTTCTGCCGACACTTTCCAACCCCAGAAACTACACCGGGTAATCTCCGAGGGATGAAATCATCGAAGTTTAGGGAAGAATAGGAATGAAATCATCGAAGTTCACGGATTGACCGGTATACTTTTTCCGTGAAGTATACCGGTCATATTTTGGCCGATGATATGTCGTTTTGCTGACGATTTAAGTCTCCCTTCCAAAACTTTCGAGATTGACCGGTCAACTAATTGGTCTCTTCCTTTGACTGGTCGTGGGTGGAATACACCCATCAATAAGCCCTCCACTTCTTGGTCATGCAATTTGTCATGAGCGGGAAGTAAAAAATCTTGAAAATGGGTTCAAATTTTGAATTTCTGTCCGTTTCCCGCTAGAATATTTCAAATTTTGAATTTGAAAAGTATCTGTTGGACACGTGCCGCGCGCTGGACGCGCCTCTCCTGCGTCCGCTCGCCTTCCCCAGGTGTCATGATGGCGTCGCCTGACGCGGCGTGCCTAGAGGAAGCCACGTCGCCCTCGCTCAGTTCTTCCTCGCCTATATAAAGGCCTCCACCCCTCTCCTTTGTCCACTTTCCGCGATCAAGTCTCAGAGCTTTCACCGGTCAAGTTCCTTCTCTTTCGCTATCCAGCCCTCCGAGCCAAGTAAGTTTCCCCTTCCTTCTCTACTTTCCCGGTCATGTCTTCTCTTAGCGATAGGATCTCTTCCTCAGAGGACTGCTCCTCTAAGGACTCCAACTCCTCTTCCTCGACCGGGTCTTCTTCTCTTGACTCCACGCCCGGTCAAGTTCCCCAGTCCTCTATTCCTGACCCGCATCCCGTTAATCAGATGCCCGGTGAAACTTTCGTGGGGAGGGATGACCCGGTCAATGACGAACCAGGCCCCTATGACCTTGAACACGAAACCCGGGATGCGTGGGAGGAGCGGCTTCATGCTGCCGGTTACTTTCCGCTTCCCACTTTCTACGTCCTTGACATACCTTCCCGTGTATCTAAAATTGCCTTAAACAAAATCCGTAGGAGGCTCCCGGATGGGTATACCCTCCTCTACGAACCTAACTGGCCCAATATCGTTGAACCCCACCGGGAGGATAGGATAGGGTTCCATACCATTTCCCTGGATGCGGGCATAGTTTTTCCCCTTCGCCCCCTCCTTACTGAAGTCTGCCATGCGTTTAGGATTTTGCCCGGCCAAATAACTCCTAACGCCCACCGGTACCTTCATTCCTTCGTAAATATTTGTACTCATCTGAAAATTTTTCCCTCTTTGCGTCTTTTCCTTTTCTGCTTCGAAGTCCTACCGGGCGGATCCGGCTGCGAAGGTTTTGTATTCTTCAAAGCCCGTACCGGTAGGAAGTTCATTTCCGAAGTCCCCCAGAGTAACCGGGGATGGAAGGAAAAATTTGTTTTCATCGAGTTCCCCCCCTTTGTCACCCCTTTCGCTGGTCTGAGGTGGAATGACCACCTCCTCGACCAAGAGTACGCTGCACCGGCTTCCTCCCCTGACTTGGAGGCGAGTCTTGAAGTCCTCATGCGCGGCGATCCATACACCGGGAGGGTCTTCCACTACGGCAGCTGGGTCTGGAGGGTCGAGTCGGGTGGTGAGGGTACCTCCCAGGCCCATGAAGCAGCGGGGCGCGGGGTACCCTCCCCGGGCAACACTGCGGAGGCTGAGGGCAACTCCCACCCAGGTACTTTTCATTTTTCTCGCGATTCGTAGTTGACCGGTGTCTCTCCTTGTACTTAACGATTTCAGCTTCTCTTGCAGATATGGAGTTTGAGGAGTTCGCCATCCCTGACGACCAACCAGCCGGGGAGACCGGGGGCTCCCAAGCCAATCTTGCCAGGACTTTCCCGGTCAATCCAGAGACCGTGGAAATCCTGGATGAAGATGAGCCCCAAGACAACCAGTCTAAGGGGAAGGAAAAAGAAAAGGCCGGTCGTCGGGTGAAGAAGGTGGCCACCACGCACCCTTCTTACGCCAAGAAGAGGGCTAGGCCGGATTCTGAACCGGCCGGTCAGACCATCGAAGAAGCCTTCATCAATCTGGGGCTGAGGCTGAAGGAGGTAAGTCTTGATGCCATCCCGGTCTTTATTTGTTTTTTTTTATCGAGAAACTTACCGGTCTGTTTCGTTTTTGTGTAGGCGGGGGAGATTGGGCCACATACAGCAGATCGGTTGGGGATGAGTTCCCCTTCCGAAGTCGACCGGCTGAGGAGGGAGAAAGAAGAGATGGCCCTCATCTTGAAGAGCCAGGCTGACGAGCTAATCAGGCTGTCTGGGCTAGCCGGGGCCATGAAGACTGAGATCTCCCAGCTGAAGGAGGAGAATGGCCGGCTTATGGATGAAGCCTCTGAGGCCAAGAGGGAAGCAGCGGAGAAGGAAGAGACCTTCCCCGGGCGCGCAGTCGCCTGGGTTGAAGAGAACAAGGTCGTTGCTGCCCGGGTGATGACGGCGACGCCGGAGATCGCGATGGAGTCCTTCAGGCTTCTGTACCGGGAGCCTGAAGGAAGGAAAATGATCACCGCGATTGGATCCTTTGGATTCAAGAGCGGTCAAAAGAAGGATCGGATCGCCTCTCACCGGGTACTGCTCAGAAGGGACCCAAGCTTCAGTGCGGCATCCTACGGCCTGGCTCCGATCCCGGAAGAAGAGCCTACTCCCCCCTTCCCCCTGGACTAATCCCCCTGGCTGCGCCCGGTTGTCTCCGTAAAACTTTTAGAACAAATTTCCCCGGGTATGCCCGGCGTACTTGTAAACATTTGACATTTTCAAATTTAAATGTCATGTTTAATTTTCTTACCGGTGAATCTTCCATATCTGCTTGCTTGTTGTTTTATACTTTGCTCTTGCTTCTTATACATTCTGACCGGTAGCCCAATCAGACCACTTCTTAATTTTTTCTGAGCGAGAGAACTTCAAAGTTCTCCTTGATCACTTTATCTGAAGGATTAGCTCGAGTAGCTTTGACCGGTTAAACTTCAATTTTTGTTTTTCGAGCGTCTTCATCATTTTGGCCAACTGTATAAATCCGACCGGTCAAACGTTGCTTTTGCTTTTTGGATAGCTTCACAAATTCTTTTGGTAAAGTTTACTTTGACCGGTGGATTCTCACTCCATGGTTTGACCGGTCAACTGCCTTGCCTTTCGATGGATGTAGAACTTTCGAAGTGGTAAATTACTTGACCGGTCAAAGTATACTAGACCGGGTCTAGAATAGTTTGCTTGATTTGGCAAAATAAGAAAGGTAAAAACACGCAGATTGACCGGTAGGACTTTAGATGGAACACCTGTAGCCCAATTTATATTATAACGGAGAATGCACGGGTGCTTTTACAAGGGAGTTTAGAGAGAATGAATTCGGATCCCTCTTCCTGAGGTTTACATGAGTTTACATACTAGGCCAAGGGGACAGGACCACGTGCGCCCACGTGGGGGCATGCTGCTGATGTGGTGCGAGGTGACTGCTTTCGTCCTCGAGCTGCCTTGTCGCCTTGTGAGGGGGATCATTCCCTTTGTCGCGTAGTGCCTTGGATGGATTCTTCAGCATCTCCAGTTGTCCTCTACTAACATGGGTCGCTACGCGCCAAGCTCTCATAGATTCTTTTCTGCCGACACTTTCCAACCCCAGAAACTACACCGGGTAATCTCCGAGGGATGAAATCATCGAAGTTTAGGGAAGAATAGGGATGAAATCATCGAAGTTCACGGATTGACCAGTATACTTTTTCCGTGAAGTATACCGGTCATATTTTGGCCGATGATATGTCGTTTTGCTGACGATTTAAGTCTCCCTTCCAAAACTTTCGAGATTGACCGGTCAACTAATTGGTCTCTTCCTTTGACCGGTCGTGGGTGGAATACACCCATCAGCGCCCATACTTTTTGTCAGTGTGAACCATCAAAATGTTTGTGCATAACTGTAGTGTACAAATGGGGTACAAAGTTTGAGGTACATGTAGCATGCTCCAAATTGAAATTCCAATTAAGGAAAATGCTAGGGGTACACCATTTGGTGTAGGGCGCTTTATAAGAGTGCCCTAAAAAAAGGTTTCTCTTATAAAAATGTCCAAAAAAAGTTTGATATTATGATATTACCCTCTATCTACCCTCACTTAAAAGAATGAAAAATTACCATTTGAGATTCCCAAATTACCCCTATTCTTCGAAAGTTATTGTCGAAAGAATCTGATTACGTTCCACACTCGTTTAATGATTTTCCCTCTTTTTTGACCTGACCCGAATTCAACTATTTCAGTTTTCTCATCTAGCTCCTTAATCGGACGCACGCTACACATTTGCTCTGCAAATCGGCAACGTAATTGACAGCAAAGCAAAAAGATAAGATTGAGGAACGCGTTTAGAAGCTATTGCGTAGCGTAGAAGGAGGAAAAAGAGCAGAAAGAGTTTACGGTAAACCCAAATTTTCGATACCCCCAAATTTGATTACAAACCCTAATTTTTCTTTACATTAAAGAGTTACGGAGGAGTAATTTTTCACGAAAAACTCTAATCGAGCCAATTGTGTTATGATTCTACATATCTTATGGTAAGCCCTACATATCTAAGATAGAAATAAACCCTACTCCGAAATAAACCCTATTTGAACATAGTCTGCGAAAACATTTCAATATCCATACGAACATTTAGGGAATATTCGGATATGATTATGATGTTTTCGAATATTCGACGTTATTTCGATTGGTCTTGACTATTCGGCGTTTTTTCGACGAATTTCGGATACCCTTAAATGTGATATTTTATGTTGTTTATATGTTGTTTATGTTGTTTCGATTGCAGATGGGTACAGATCCTGTGATATTATATGTTGTTTATGGTGAAAAGTGGACCACAGATCACGAAGGGAATTATGTTTACAGTGGATCCGGCAAGAATATAACTTTGTTGTTTTGGGATGTTGCTAATTTGGACTTTGATGCCTTTTTGAAAGCCATTATTCAAAAGCTTGGTTACGATATGAAAACTCAAAGGCCAAAAATTACATTTCAAATTCAACGGCTTGAAAAAATATACCACCCTTTTCCATCGATTCAAGTGAAACACTACATGTATTTCTTTTGGAATTAAAGAAAAATTTTACAGCCTTGCATGTTGAGATGGTTCTAGTTGAACGTGAAGAAAAAGAACAAGAAGAGCAAATACAAGAAGTCTAAGAAGAACTTTTGGGATTGCAATCAGCAATTAACCCCTTCGTTCCCCTGATTGATTGCGTCCAGTATGACTTCTTCAATTGTATGATTGTTGCTGATCAAGAATCTGGTCGTGATCATGAAGGTATTGTTTTTCAGAAAAATGCAGGGAGGTGTGATCAAAATCCTCTATTCGTTGAGTCTAATGCCACTCCTGTGAAGAGCCCATCAACTGCTCAAGTGGATGAAGAGGATTATATGGGTGATGATAATGATGAGTTAAAAGAGGACAAGTGCTTTATTCGGAGGGATGATCCTTCTTCTGATACGTCTTTTGGCAATGAGGTAGACGCGACATTGGATGGTGGCTTTGAAGATGGATCGGATTTGGCCATCGGACTTGAGTTTGCTGACAAAAGAGAGTTGAAGAAGAAGATGGCTGATGTTTCCATACAAGGACATTTTGAAACAAAGACTGTGAAGAGCGACAAGAAGAGGTATGTGTTGAAATGCAAGAGTGACAAATGCTCTTGGATGATGATGGCATCCATCGTAAAAAACACATCTTGATTCGCTATTAAAAAATACAACGGAAAACATATTTGTACAGTTGGTGACCGTAGCCGAACACACAGCCAAACAACTTTGAGATATGTGTCAGAATTAATTTTAGAGAGTTTTGTTGGTACGGATGATTTAATTAAGCCCAAAAACATCATGACTTTCATGAAAAACAAGAGCATGCCAATCACATATGCAAAGGCTTGGTGGAGTAGGAAGTTCGCAAATGAAGCCATGTTTGGGATGCCCGAGACTAGTTACAAAAAGCTTCCATTATACTTGCACATGTTGAAGAAAGCAAATAATGATCTTGTAATAACCCACCTAGAACTTGATGAAGGGGGTGCTTTCAAGTATGTATTCATAGCATTTCATGCATGTATTTCTGGATTTCAAGCAATGAGGCGTGTCATCGTCATTGACAAAACATTTCTTAAGACATCATATAAGGGTGTTTTACTCATTGCAACGGTGCAATATGCTGACTTTCACCAATATCCCCTTGCCTGGGCTATTGTGGACTCTGAAAACAGCGACTCATACTCTTGGTTTTTTGGCCATTTAAGGAAATTAATTCCTGATTCCAGAGACTTGGTGTTCATTTCAGACAGACACATTAGCATTCGAAATGGGATAAGAAAGCACTATTCGGCTGCAGATCATGGATTGTGTAGGTATCACATCACTTATAACTTGAGAAAGCGTTTTCCAAAGATGTGCAAAAAGGGGTTGGATAAACGTTTTGAGGACCTTGCAAATGCATACACCAAACGATCATTCAAGAGGTTGTATGGCAACTTGAAAGTAAGGTACCCAACTGCTGGCAATTACATTGATAAGATCCCAAAGAAAAGATGGGCCATGGCGTATTTTGAAATAAACTGGTACCAAATCATGATGATAAATGGCGCCGAATCAATCAATAGCGTGTTGACGGACGACAAGGAACTTCCTATTGTTGCACTTTTTAAAGTAGTCTAGAACATGACTTCAAGGTGGCATGGAAAAAGGCAACAAGAGTTAAGGTCTCTCGATGAGTCAAATCCCCCTGTTACCCCAGCTGTTGAAGCTCAAATGCGCAAGAGATTCAACACTGCCTTGCGTTTGGAGTGTCATCAGTTGAATCATTACGAGTTTGAAGTCAAGGGAGTGCACTCTGACCATGTCGTTCATCTTTCAAATAAAACTTGCACCTGCCAAGTGTTTGACAAGGATAAGATACCTTGCGTGCATGCACTCACTTGTTCAGAACGCACACCTGTGTAATAAATTCTACACAAAGGAATACATGTATATTGCATACGCGGAAACAAGCTACCCCGTGCCACATGAAGATGACTGAGATGCCGATGGAATGGAGCTCATAGAAGTCAAACCCCCTATATGGTACAAGCTAAGAAGAAGGTCAACAACGAAGAGATTTCCATCGGACGGTGAGGCACGGAAAAAATATAAATTGACATGTTCTGATTGCCAAGGAAAAGGGCATACAGTACGGACATGCGCAAAGAGACCTCGTAAAGACACATCTACGACGAATTACTTGAATAATACTGATTGCATTAAATTGTATTCGAAGAAAGGTTGAAATACTTTCTATGTGATCAAATTAAATTCGAATTACAGTCGAAAAGCTAATTGTGATAGTCGAATATTTCGAATAAGGATAACTCTAGTGCAGTTGAATTTATCAAAATGATTGTGTCAAATATTGGTAATTTTAAAATATATAGAAAATATCAAAATGCATGTTTCATGGTTTTAATTTCAAAATATGACTGTTTTTTTGTGTCATTTTGAAATATAAAAATATGATTTTTTTAAGATGTAAAAATATGAATTTTTATTATTATACCTTTTTTATATTTTAATTTTATTTTAGTGTTTTTCCCACATAACTGAACACGTATTTTTCATAAAGCGAACTTCGTAGATATGCACATATTTAAACAAGCTAATTCTTTTTTTAACATATATAGCTTGAATACATTTTGGAGTATTTGAATGCATTTAGGTAGGCATATGAGTAGGTGACAAAATAAAAATATGGTTTGAATACATTTAGGAGGGTTTGAATGCATTTAGGGAAATACACATATGGTTTGAATGCATTTAGGACGGTATATGAGTAGTTGGGGAAATACAAATATGGCTTGAATGCATTTAGGGGGGTTTGAATGCATTTAGGACGATGGCCCACATGCATTTAACATAACTCATGCGGTTATACATATTTATATATCAAAATTTCGTTTTTACTAGTGCAATTGCTTATCTTTATTCACAAAAATTCCTCTTAAAATGCCAAAAACTTTCGTCATATATCTAGAGGAAGAGGATAATAATAGGCATGACCCGAACTATGAACTGGTAAGTTATTTTTCCTAGTGCAATTACTTATTTTTTAATTCTTTATCACTTAAGAGAATTCCAATACAACCAGCGTATCCCGGATTCGGCTGCAAGGTATTTGTGCGACCTGGACGAATTGGTAGTATACTCTGGCCCGGGAAAAAAAGAAGTTCATTGTTCAACTAGAACGCCGGCAGGAGGGAACGTTTATGGTGAAAAGTGGTTGGCATAAAGTAGCAGATTTTTATCAACTATTACCCGAATTGATCCTGCATTTCAAATATTACTGGGAAAACGTATTTTTCCTTACTGCGTATTGGGATGGTGTGGAGTTCCCACCATTTAATGATTTGTAATAAAAAAAAAGTGCTTGAAAAGGTCTATTTGGGAAGGGTAGAAACCTTTTCGAATTATTTCAAAATTCTTTTTAGTAGTCAAAGCTCTGTTGATGGCCCACGCGTATTTAAATTTAAAAAAATCGTTTAGTTTCGGATGTTCTTATCTTTTTTCAGCAAAACTCGTTAAGTGCCCATAAGATAATACCTAAAAAATGATATTTGAAGAAACAAAATTATTAACAAATAAGTCCACTAAAAGTTTTGTTCCAATTAAATTTTCCAATTAAATACTATTTTGTGTGGTTGGAAATGTTAGTCCAAGTAATGACACTTCTGGATGTTTTATCAGGAATTAGTAATGTTTTTCTTATTGAATTTCAGGTTCCTTCCCTCAGGTGCACTATTAAGGAGATTTTCCCGACCATGAAGTTAACACTTAAATTCTCTATTGGAGATTGGCAAAAGGCCATCAATGAGGGACTAGCACATCATCCTGAAGTTTTGGATTCTTTCAAGCACGGTAGCCCTTTTGGAAACTACTTGGATGTGGAGTTTATTCCTTCCCCACTAATGATGTGGGAGATTCTATCAAGGGAATCAAAGGTTGAGAGAGATGGAGAACTTTGGTTTGTAGTCCATGGAGTACCGGATAGGTACTCATTGATGGAGTTTGCCCTTATCAATGACTTGAACTGCTCGGAGTTGAATACGGAGTTCGAAGCATTATATGATGTAAATGCTCGAAAAAAATTTCTTGGAGCTCACTATCCTTTGGTACTCAGTTAACAAAAAGTCTATTGGAGTACCAGAGGGAAGTGAGCTTCAAGAAGTTTTTTCCGAGCATTCGCATCATATAACGCTTCGAACTCCGTATTCAACTCCGAGCGGTATGTAAGCTCGGACGAAGTATGTAAGCTCTTGGACAACAAGGATGATGAGAACAAGAAAAAGACCCAGATTCCTTGAACCAAACATAGTGTTAGAGTTGGCAAAATGTACAAAGAGGAGAGAAAACAAAATTACTCAAATTTTGATGAGAAACCTTTCTAATTTTTCAGTTTCAATAATTTGTAAAAAAGGTGCTTGAAAAGGTCTATTTGGTAGTGGTCGAAATAGTTTCGAATTCCGTCGAAATTCTTTTTAGTAGTCTAACATATATATTTATTACTTTGAACACAAAATGTAAGCTCTTGGTCAACAAGGATGATGAGAACAAGAAAAAGACCCAGATTCCTTGAACCAAACATAGTGTTAGAGTTGGCAAAAATGTACTAAGAGGAGAGAAAAGAAAATTATTCAAATTTTGATGAGAAAAATGAGAAAACCATTTTCTTTTCTTTTCCATCTGATTCCTTGAACCAAACATAGTGTTATTTTAATTTAAAAATGGTAGATTGGGAAAATAAATATATTTGAAACACCTACATTTAATGAAGAGACGGACTGCTGACCGTAATAAATACAAGAAACCTTTCTAATTTTTCATTTTCAATAATTTGTAAAAAAATGTGCTTGAAAAGGTCTAGTTGGTAGTGGTTGAAATATTTTTGAATTGCGTCGAAATTTTTTTAGTAGTCAACTAATTCTTTTGAAAATAAATATTGTATTTTGGGAAAATAAATATATTTGAAACACCTACTCCATCTAAAAATTGTGAGGGGTTGAATTGGGTCAAAAAGGTCAAATTGGTCGAATTGTCCAATAAGAAAAAGTAATATGCCTAAGAACTTTTACCGAAAAAAGAGTTGTACAAACCAGGTCATAAGAATCGAAGTCCAGTTTGGCTGTCGGGATATACTGGTCGGAGATTCTTCTTGAGGTCTATCGTGGGAAGGTATTTGACTGTGGTTTGAAAACAGTAGAGCTAGCTAAATCTGTCCGTCATGTGGGATTTGAGTTCGATCTCGGGGTGGGGTGTGTTCGGGTCGGGTCGGGGCGGGGTGGGGGTTTACGGGGCTTAGGGGTAAGAACCGTCAATTTTACAATTGGGGCACCAGAACACCTCTGAGTCGTCGCATGACATTATCGTGCAATGTCATGTGAACCTTGTCGCTTCTATAAATGCAAAAATATCCTTCCTCTATTATACACATTGACTTTTGAAAACCAATGTCTTTACAGATAAATTCATTCAAAATTATGGTCAAAATTTAGAAATACATAACTTGCAACTTGAGGTGATAATCTTGCAATTTCTTCATTCAAAAAAAATCTTGCAATCTTAACTTGGAATTAAAACTAAATTGAAAGGGTAATGCTATTTGTACTCCAAAATTTTGTACCCCAATTTGTACACTGCAGAGATGAACCAACATTTTGTGTTGGTATAATGTTAATTTTTGTAAATGCACCAATATCTTATGTGAATGATAAATTTTTTGTTTACGCATCCATACTTTTTGTTAGTGTGAATCATCAAAATGTTTGTGCATAACTGTAGTATACAAATGAGGTAAAAGTTTTGGGTAATGTAGCATGTTCCAAATTTGAAATTCCAATTAAGGAAAATGCTAGGGGTACTTTGGTGTATCCCAAATGTCCCCTACCCTTCCTAATAGGCAAGTAAATTCAAAATAAATAAATAAACAAAAATCAGATAAAATTGAGGATGGTGAAGAAGCTATGTACATTTGGGGTAAGCCATCTCCCTCCAATTAAACATGGTGATTGAAATGTAATTTGAACTTCAGATTTATATTATAGAGAACTCTTGAGAGAAAAGGAGACGTTGGCCAGAGAAGTCGCCTGATATAGAAGTGACAGTCTTGCCGGCTGGTCGAGTGTTCCTTCTGCCTACTCTTGAAATTCCTCTCTCCATGGCCCGATTGGAGATCTTCATTGGACGGGTTAATCGTGTGTCGTCGGACCGTCGGAAAAAGAGGTCGGAAATCGCAGCGGCAACAGTCGTGGTCGGAAATTGAAGTGGAGGAAAAGCTAGAAGTGGAAAGAGAGGGAGAGAGTGAGAATAACGCGAGGGGATTGAGTGGGTAATGGGGGGTGTTTTATTTGGGGTACAAAATGGGGGTGTAAGTAGCATTCTCCACGGATGAAAAGATTTTACCTCTTTCCCCGGGCGTTTCTTACTCAGAACTGAAACAGAGTTCACCCCTTTCTTCTTCAATTTCACACTGTCTATTCCTTTGATAAAATCACAGGTGATCAATCGTCGTATGTGTATAAATCTGTCTTTCTTAATTAATTGCTAAGATTTAGATGATGGGTGAATGTGTTCATGTGATAAACTGTGAATGCTGTGCCTTTATATGTATGCATCCATGTTCTTACAAGTCCCTAATTTATATTACTGTGAGATATAGTGAAAGATCATTTTTCTTAAAGGGACTTACTTTAGGCCAAAGTACTTCAAAAAGTGATGCGGATTTATGAAATGGGTTTTGTTGTGCAGTTGAATACTGATCTGGTGTATACGACTATGTGGGATAATTTTGTGAATTGACAAGGTAAACATGTTATATGAATTATTGGGAACAATGATAGTTTAATAACAAAGGATGATAGCTAAAAGTTGGAATTGATCTCTTATTAGGTTATGCATGTATTATGATTATGTATATGAGAAAAATAAATTGTGCGATGCATTATGTATTTTATGTGTGGCATGACATGATATACACCTGTATGAGAAGTTTACATCTATTGGTTTGCCACTCAACTTATGTAGAGCGTGTGTTTGTTTTTGAATGACTACACGCAGGATTAGGACCATTAGGTTGTGAGGTAGCTGCCCGGAAGGACAGGCATGGATGAGCCAGCAGTGATAGTGAATGCGCACTAAAGGTTTATTATTGAAATTATGAAATGTTTTTAATAATTTGGTTTTCGCCACGAAGAAGAGTTCCATGTTTGATATCAAGTAAGGAACTATATCTTGCTTCATGGATACTGCTCATAACGGAAATGAATTAAAGAGGAAGATGTCAACGATTATGGGAAGTCTTATGACTGTGGACACTGCTTTCAGTTATTTAGAGAAAATCTATGTATAATAAATGAATCATTTTCATTCTAATAAAGTAACCAAAACCATTACCTGATTAGTCACTATTCACTAATAGACTAAAATCATATAAAGGACAGAGGGTTGACTAAAAATCATACTATTAATGTCACTGAAGTAGTAGATCTTGTGCCACAAGCTTGGTAACTAAATAACTAATTCCAATGCTGTACTGCCTTTTACTGGATAAGTAAAAGCATTGAAAGTTCCATACCTTTTTTTCTTAAGAGAAATACTACCTATCACAGCAGAAGGCACCAAGATATGTTTGTGGTAGAAAAGCATCGTGGCGAAGTTAATTTATCACTATCATTGCTTGTTTCTGATTGAATTTATAATGCAATAGTGAAGCTAATCATTAGTTTACTTTTTACCTTATTTAATTATGGACCAATGGTACGAAGTATTAGTTGTTTAGTTTTACCTACTTTACAATAAGAACAACAATAGTCCTACTGTAATCCCAATTTCATTATGGTTTGAGATGTCAAGATGTTTGCAACCTTATCTTTGAGAAATAGAGAGATTCTTTCTGTTAGACCCTTGATGCACTCCTGCATTTACTGTCCAAAACTTCGTAGAATATATGAAGCTAGAGAAGTTTGTTATGTCATTTTGATGTAGTTTATTATTTAAATAATTTAGGAAGATCAATTAATAGGTTAGCTATTGGTTATTTAATTCCCTAGTTCCCTAGTTTGTAGTTTGGAAAGTCTTGTAAATGCTATGAATATGAGGGGATTTGAATATATGATCTCAAATCGAGAGTTAAATCGGCATTGGGAAAGGTATGGAGAGGAACCCAACAAATTCCTCCAAGGGAGTTGAGAGTTTCAATAAAAACTCCAATCTTTTTTCTATTCTAAATTATTCCCACGATAGGATATTTTTAACTTTTGATGATCTCGATCTCTCCGCATTGGCACTCAAAGAGATTCCAATTTTACAATCTCTTTTCAACGATGAATAGTAGCTATCTATAAAGCATCTAAAGATATGAGTTTATTGATCATTGTCATCAGTCAATTGCTATTTGCAATTGCATTTGCTCTGTAACATTTATCACAATTTCTTACGTTGGCATTTTTAAAAAGGAAGAAGAATAAAGTCTGTACTCTGAAAATTGGGAGATGTTACGTGATTGCTCCCAAAACAAAAGGATCACATGAGCACTCTGAAAATTAATGTGGAGTTCCCCAAGCCACTTTTGTGACACCTGTGAAGGGATCTCCCGCTAGTTCCACTCTGGCATTGATTGGTCAGAGATCCCATCCCCGGTTACAAGAGTGCTCATGGAATTTCACATTGAAGTATTTGAATGAAATACTCCTTTTTTTAAAATAGTGAAATTCCATTGAATATTTATTCCTAGTTTTTAGTTTAAGTTATTGTAATGATGATGATGATGACAACGATGATAGTGATGGTGATGGTGATGTTGACGATAATGATGATGGTGATGAAATATGGGCCAATATTGAATACCAAATCTAAGGGCCAACTCAGTTGCTAATAATTTTCAAATGGCTGTATAAATAAAGTGCTTATTATTTCTAACCATATTACCCTAGTTAATCTTATAAATTACACCTTCAATTTTTCAAACTACCAAAATACTTATATTAAAACAAGGTTCCTTTATATCCTTTATTTCTACTTATTTTTACAATTTTGCTAGATTTGTTCTCCTTTTATGAAAGTTGATGGAATCTTAGAGATCTGGTTTTTCCTCACCATTTATTGCACCCCTTATATTTGTACTATATCATATTTAGAAAGAAAGTGCAATTAGAAAATAAAAAGAAATTGTAGTGGTGGAGTATGTTTTGTTTATATTTCTTGTTTTTGTTTATTTATTGTACCAACTCGGAGTATGGGTTAATCCCTTTTAGGAAAGAGAAAGTAGAGAATTCTAGTGCACGAGAGATAAATATATTACATCAGATATAATATTTGAATAAATAATTGAACATAGACTTTTGTTGCAAGCTAGTTTCCTTATCAACTAATTCAAAATTGTTTTTCTGATCTTCCAAACCTTGAACCATCCCTTGTGATCTATACTGGCAAAAGTTAGTTCAAGTTCATGCTCTTAAATGAAATGGTGATCCTAATGTGTATGTGTGAGTGTGTGGTATAGAGAAAGAAGTTGAAATTCATTGTATCTATGAAGCGTGGGCATGAGTGTGAGTGTGTGAAACAAAAATTTCTAGAAACACGAACCACTAGTATGTCGGGGAAAAATCCACTTTTATACTCCATCCCAAAAATATCTTCCAATTACTAATCATAGAGCTAAATCATATCTTCTTTTCCATGCATATTTTCATTGATCAGTTTTAAAATAGTCATATCATCTCTTGTTTTATACTCTCTCCGTCCCAAAATTATCGATCTAGTTTGGCTTTTTTGCCCACTTTGACTATAATTGTGAAAAGTATATTTAGTTATAATGTAACTTAATAAAATTGGGTTAATTGTTTAGTGTAAATTTAATATATCTATTTTTTTAACATTTATTTGTTTAAAACAATATTTAATTATGTAGTAGTGTCTACCTTATACTGTTATCAGTTTTTTTTGTATACAAGGACAAACTGAATCTATAAAGGAACAACATATTGTTTCTGATTTGATATCTAGTGGACATGTCATTAATCAAAGAAACCAAAGAGATGGGAAAGGTCAAAGCAAATGGTCTATTTCACTTCTGCTGGACTGTTGGGCAGGATGAAAACCAAGAAAAACTGGTAATCTATTTCTTGCATTTTGCACAATTCTATGTTGGAAATTTCATTCATTATTTCTGCATGTTAAATTTTGTGAAACTACTACATAATTAAATATTGTTTTAATTAAGGTTTTGGTTGAATACAAATGGTATGCTTTTAAGTTTTGTTACATTTTTGGTGTTTCCTTACCATTTATGGCATCATTTTTATTTTTACTATATCATGCGGAGTATTTAGAAAGAAAGTGCAATTAGAAAATAAAAGGAAATGGCAGCGATGGAGTAAGTTTTCTTTACATTTCTTGTTTTCGTTTATTTATTGTACCACTTTTTTGTTATGGGTTAATCCTTTATAGGATAGAAAAAAACATTTGAGTGTAGGACAGCAAAGACCAAAGAGTATAACAACATACATAGCATTTGAATAAATAGTTGAGCATAGACCTTTGTCGTGAGCTAGTTTCTTTGTCAACTGATTGAAAATTTGTTGCCCAGTCTTCCAAACTTTGAACCATCCCTTGTGAGCTATGATGGTAAAATAATAGTTCAAGTTCATGCTTCTATATGAATTGGTGATCCTAATGTGTATATATGAGTGTGTGTGATAGAGGGAGAGAGAGAGAATTGAAATTCATTGTATCCTATGTAGCATCAACACAGGTGTGAGTGTGTGAAACACCACTTTCTAGAAAGATGAACACTTGGTATGACTTGGAAACATCAACTTTATAATCCATCCCAAAATTAGCTCCGTATATGCTCTTCACAAAGTAAAATCTATCTTCTTTTCCTTACTTATTTTCATTGATCATTTGTTAAAATAAAATTGTCATGTCACCTTTTGTTTTTTACAACTTTTGATGTAGTTTTTAAATATATACTCCATCCATCCCAAAATAATCTTTCTTCTTCCCTTTTTCGTCTGTCCCGAAACCATCTTTACTTTCCTTTTACGCCATGTTTGGTTAGAATGGTGATAACTCAAAACAGGTGAAGTTGACTGTAAGTTGAACCTTACATTGCATTGTGTGACGTGATATTGCCAATAACATTATCATTGGTTTTAAGGTGCATTGAATTTCAATTTTCAAGTGAAATGAAAACCACATGCACATTTGAGTACAGAAGTACAAACTTTCTAAGTATGATTACATAATATATTGAATAGTGATAACTGATCGAATTATCCCTTTGTGATGCAAATTTGAATTTGAAGCCGATCCCAATGGGATTCATGAAATACTTGAAAAAGGGCAAAAGAGGTTTACCAGGCGAAGCAATTCTAATGTGCTCTTCTGGTCAGTCTTGGACGGTCAAATTATCTCTAGATGCTGATGGCTTATTTCTAAGCAAGGGATGGGGCAAATTTTTCAAAGAAAACCATCTTTGTGATGGAGACTTCCTATTATTTAGATATGATGGAGGCAAAACCATAAAATTTGATGTGAGAGTTTTTGGTGCAAATGGATTGCCAAAGGCGAAAGCCTCTGATTCTGGGAAAGAAAATTTATGCAAACAATTGGAAAACTATGCCTCTCAAATTGTGATAGGTAAACACTTCCTGTGCTCATTTCATAAAGCTTTTACTCTTGTTTTTAAGTTTGATCATACAAAGTACTTCCTCCTGCCCACTATCTCTGTCGTTTTCATATTACTTTTTTCCATCCCACCATCTTTGTCCTTTTTGTTACATAATGTTTAATATTTTTTTGGTCCAAGGGCATAGCTTTGCCTTGGTTTTTAGATTTTAGTATTAATGGGGTTGAAATGTAGATCTTATGCAACTAGCTTGGTAACTATTAACTAATTCTGATGTTTTACTGGCTTTTAATAGACCGTAAAAGCATTGAAAATTCCATATTGTATTTCTTAATAACCTATTAGACCCTTAATGCACTGCTCCATTTACTGTCCAAACCTTCATGTAATATCTGAACCTAGAGAAATTTATTATGCCATTTTAATTTAGTGCATTATTTAGCCAAAACTAAAACATATTCAAGATGACTATATTGACTCAAATTTCAATGGACATAATTTTATTGCCTAGCTTGTAGCTTGAACCTGCTATGCTATTAATTTACCCAAAGTAGTTACTGGTTATTTAATAACCTAATTTGTAGTTTGCAAGTCTCTCAAAGGCCATGTATATGAGGGGATTTGGATATTGATCTCAAATACAACAAAAACCAAGTTAAAAGGTACACTACAACAACTGCAAGAACTACCACCAAGTCCAAAACATCTACCCAACTACCATACTTCTAGCTTTTCTAATGTTCCTATCTAAGGTCATGCTCTGAGTAAGGCCCATAAGTTGTAGGAAACTACCACCAAGCCCAAAACACCTACCCAACTACCATACTCCTAGCTCTCCTAATGTTCCTATCCAAGGTCATGTTCTCAGTAAGGCCCAAAAGTCGTAGTTTGTGTCTGATAACCTCTTTGATCTCAAATGCAGAGTAAAACCATGCGTTTAGAAAGGTACATAGGAGGGGAACTTTATAAAGTCCTCTAAGGGAGTTGAGAGTTTTAGTAAAAACTCCCCTTTGCTTTTTATTCTATTATAAATGATTCCCACTATGGATATTTTAAACTTCTTGATGATCTGTTCGGACTGGCACTCAAAGATTTATAAATTCTACTATCTCTTGTCAAATATGATTACTAGCTATTTGTAAAGCATCTATAGATATGATTTTATTGATTTTTTTACTGATTCAATGGCAATATGCTATTGCATTTTCTCTGTAACATTTTTCACAATTTCTTAAATTGGCATTTTAAATAAGAAGAATAAATGTATACTCTTATAATTGGGTGATTTTACGTGATTGCTCCCAAAACAAAAGGATCACATGAGCACTCTGAAAATTAGTGGGGTGTTCCTCTAGCACTCTTGTCACACTTGAGATGGGATCTTCGGCCAGTTCCACTTTGACATTAATTGTTCAGAAATCTCATCCCCGGTGGCAGGAGTGATCATCTAATTTCACATTATTATTGGGTGGGCTAATGTAAATTTCCTTTTTGGTGCATTCACGCAAATTTGCCCAATTTACGGAGTATTTGAATGAAAGTTTCCTTTTTTCAATAATGAAATTCCACTGGATATTTATTGCAAGTTTTTAGCCAAGTTTTAGTAATAATGATAATGATAATAATAATAATAATAATGAGAATAAAATAAATATGGGCCAATATACCAATATTGAATCCCAAATCTAAGTGCCCCAACTTAGTTGCTAAGAATTTTCAAATGGGCGCATAAATAAAGTGCGGGTTCATTCTAGCCCTAGTTAATATTTCCAGTTACACCTTCAATTTTTCAAATTGTACTTATATTAGAACAAGGTTCCTTGATTTATACTTTAAAAAACAATTTTGCTAGAACTGTTTTCTCTCCTTTGATGAACGATGACGGAATCATAGAGATTGGGTTTTGGTGTACAATCAATTCTTGAATTAAGGTTTATTTACCGAACTTCTTTAATATTGTGAAAGCTTTTGGTTGAACACAAATTGTATGCTTTTAAGTTTTTTTTTAATTTTGGGTTTTTCGTCACCATTTATGGCTTCATTTTCATTTTTACTATATCATACGGAGTATTTAGAAAGTGCAATTAGAAAATAAAAGGAAATGGCAGCGATGGAGTACATTTTCTCTATATTTCTTGTTTTTGTTTATTTATTGTACCACCTTTTGGTTTAAATCTTTCTAGGAAAAAAAATATATTTGAATGTAGGAGAGCAAAGAGTAAAACAACAAACATAGTATTTGAATAAATAATTGAGCATAGACCTTTGTTGTGAGCTAGTTTCCTTCTCAACTGATTGAAAACTGGTTACTTAGTCTTCCGAACTTTGAACCATCCCGTGTGAGCTATAATGGTAAAAAATACTTGTAGTTCAAGTTCATGCTTCTATATGAATTGGTGATCCTAATGTATGTGTGTGAGTGTGTGTGATAGAGAGAGAGAGAGAGAGAGAGAGAGTGAGAGAGAGAGTTGAAACTCATTGTATACAATTAAGCATCCAGACAGGTGTGAGTGCGTGAAACAACACTTTCTAGAAACACGAACAGACGGTTGGGACACATCAACCGTCTTGTGTTAAAATAAAATTTTTTATTTTAACAGACGGTTGGGACACATCAACCGTCTTTCTAGAAACACGAACAGACGGTTCTCCTTACTTATTTTCATTGATAATTTGTTAAAATAAAATTATCATGTCACCTCTTGTGTTTTATAGAGCTTTTGATGTGGTTTTTAAATATATATTCCATCCATTCCAAAATAATCTTTCTTCTTTCCTTTTTTTGTTTGTCCCAAAACTATCTTCACTTTCCTTTTACGCCATGTTTGTTTCAAAGAATTTGAAAGGGAAAAAATGATAGTAAACACTTTTCTTGTTTGGTTAGAGAGGAAAAAAAACAGGGGAAGAAAATGCACAAGCAGGGGAATTGGTTTTCCCTTGTATGGCCTTAGATAGTCTTTGGTTTGGAGAGCTAGGATTAAGGTAGTTGGATAGGTTCTTTTGGTTAGGTGGTAGTTTATGCACTTGTTGTGTGCTTTGTATGCCCGGTGCTTTGCTTCTGTGCTTCTTTCTTTTTCACCATTAACATTGCCTTGCCTTGTGCCTCCTTGTGCCTCCTTGTGCTCTATGCTTTTCATGCATTCCATGCTTTACATGTCTTTTGTAGTTTTGTGGTCTAATATAAACTTATGATATCCGTGCGGCTTGAGCTGGGGTCTCTTAGAAACAGCCTCACTACTTTCGAGTAGGGGCAAGGTCTGCGTACACACATCCTACTCTTAAGGGATTTAAATGGGTTGTTGTTTGGTGAGGAAAAGGAAAGAAAATATCTTTCTTTTATTTTCCTTTTTAATTCCACAACCAAACATAGTGCTAAGGAAAAGAATACGTGGATAAAAAGTTTCTTTCTTCTCATCAAATTCTAACCACTTCGTTTACACTTTTAAACACTTTTCTTAAACATCGTGAAAAGAATATGCGGATAAAAAGTAAATTTACGGAGTACATAAATTGAATTGAAAATATTTTTATCAAACGCTGTAAACTGAAACAAGAAGATAATTTTGGGATGGAGGGAGTATATTTTTAACCATTTATAACTTAATGTTTGACCTTTATATTACTATTTTATTTATTATTTTCTTATGCAGTAGTATTCTTATCTACCATATACGGTTATCCGTTTTTGTTTATAAGGAAAGTGCGTATCTATAGAGGAATAATGTATCTTTTGTGATTTGATATCAAGTGGACATGCCGTTAAACAAAGAATCCAAAGAGATGGAAAAGGTCAAAGTAAATTGTCTATCTCACTTCTGCTGGACTATAGGGCATGATGAAAACCAAGAAAAACTGGTAATCTATTTCTTGCATTTTGCACATTTCTATGTTGGAAATCTCATTCACAATTTCTCCATATTATATCTATTCAATGATCTCTAAGTTCAGGGGCAAGCCCNTTTTGAAGTTTAAGGTATTTTGTGTTTTATTTTATTCTATTTTTATTCCTAGTATAGTTTAGGTCCTCAAATAAAACGTAGGACCCCATGAAGTTTGAAATTTTTCCTTAACCCTAAAAGGCAAAAAATAAACTTACACAGGAAAGGGGAAGTCGCTTGCGAGCACCGACAAGAGGAAGGATTTTTTCCTTATCCTAAAGTAAACTTTTTAATATCTCAATCTAATATGTTATTGTTTTTGTCACATATTAATTACTTTTACTTTAAATACGGAGCAATTAATTGATATGGTTCATATGGTCAAAAACATTTTATTATTTGATACTCTGTTTTATTGATATGGTTGTGCCTTGAAAGTGCTTGAGAAAATGTCTGAATGAAAATTTTCATTTTTAAAATTTGTTAGGTTTGTAACATTAAGTGGAATATAATAATTGGTTGAACTTAAATTAAGTGGCGTATATTGTTTGATGTTGGGTGAAGTGTTCTTCAAATTTGGGATACAAAATGAGATTTTAATTTTGATTACTTGAATGGTTGTTTGAGATGAAATTTGATTTTCTTTTTTGTCATTTTCCAGAGCATTAACAAGAATAACCGGGGTGGCTGCCCCTGAATCCCCGGATTGCCTTTTCCCCTATTCACCGAAAGTGCCCCTAACAAAACTTTTTCCTGGATCCACCACTGAGAAAGTTATCTTTCATGTATACTTTTTTGATTTGTCCATTCTATTATGAATCCATCTTAGTATGCTAGTAATTTAGTATACAATTGATCTCTCTCAGTCATCTTTCACATGAAACTTGATTCCTTCTTGGTCTAAGGCATTTTCACCGCAAGAGTGTCACCTCGAGTGGTCCTTGCCTCCTTGGGTTATTGTGTGGCACTGGCTGCCTTCCCTAACATAGAGCTGAGTGTTGTTCGAAAATCCCTTTCATCGCTTCTATGTGTTACCATTGCACATTGCTTTGCCGGTTCCTGTTGATTTCCGTTGTTTGAGTTGACAATCGCATTTCGATCATCTTCTCTATTAACACCATGAATAATTGATCACGGGTATAATCTTACCCATCTACAAAAGTTCATGTGGCGAACTTCAGTTGAATTAAATATTTGATAAATTGTACCAAAAGGTGAAATTGCTCACCCGGTTACTCTATTTGCCTTGAATAGTGATAACTGAAAACAGGTGAAGTTGACTGTAAGTTGAACCATACATTGCATTGTGTGGCGTGATATTGCCAATAACATTATCATTGGTTTTGAGGTGCATTGAATTTCAATTTTCAAGTGAAATGAAAACCACATGCACATTTGAGTACAGCTGTACACCAAACTTTCTAAGTATGATTACATAATATATTGATGTGTGATAACTGATCAAATTACCCCTTTATGATGCAAATTTGAATTTGAAGCCAATCCCAATGGGATTCATGAAGAACTTGAAAAAGGGTAGAAGAGGTTTACCTGGCGAAGCAATTCTAACGTGCTCTTCTGGTCAGTCTTGGAAGGTCAAATTATGTCTCGATGCAGATGGCTTATTTCTAAGCAAGGGATGGGGCAAATTTTTCAAAGAAAACCAACTTTGTGAAAGAGACTTCCTATTATTTAGATATGATGGAGGCAAAACCATAAAATTTGATGTGAGAGTTTTTGGTGCAAATGGATTGCCAAAGGTGAAAGCCTCTGATTCTGGGAAAGAAAATGTCTGCAAACAAGTGGAGAACAATACTTCTCAACGTGTGAAAGGCAAACACTTACTGTGCTCATGTCATAAAGCTTTTATTCTAGTGTTTAAATTCTGCAAATAAAAAGTGAATGGAAATGGGGTACATAATTTGATTCACAAATCACAAAGGATTTGCGCATCATGACATTTTTTAATGCTTAACTATCATGACCATGTTTTTCCTTAAAAAAAACTATCATGACCATGTAGACAAAAAAAAGTAGATAGACACATAATAGAACAGATGCAATTAATTTGGACACAATTTTAAAGATTTCAAGTTCATTTTATTTGCAACAGATGTAAATTGCATGTGAACTACAACTATGCTTTATATAGTGCAATAAGAATGAAGTTTGGGTGAACTCAATAAGAAGTCATATCAAGAAGATAAATGAAAATAATGTATATATGTTTTAGGAAGGGAACATAATACAGACGCTCACACATGTGTATGCATGGTTTATTTGAATTGCCTTATGGTTATCATCTACTAACTTTACGCACCTGTTTTAATCTGCAAATCAGATGAATGCCTGAGTTTGGATGTTCAGCCTGAAATTTCTGCTCACAAGAAGAAGAGGGATGAACTGGTGGAAACTGGAGTTACTACAATGGCTTTAGGTGCATATATAAACATCCATTGCTGATTTGTGATTATGTACTTAACATTGACACATCTTTTTGTTTGAATTTAAACGAACATAGTTTTCTCTGGTCAAAATACATATTGAGTTTTTCAATATAATGCATTGTTCTAAAAGGATCCCATCACCACAAAGTAATATCCTCACATCTGTCTTCTTTTCTTCTTCATAGTTCATATCTAGAAACTCATGTGTTTATGCCATGTCTAACTGGGTACAGAATTAAGTTATGTAACTTCCCCACAAATCAAATACTCCCTCCATCCGGATGTAGTTGTAAGTTGTCCACTTTCATGTTTTTGTTTGTCTATAATTAGTTGACCACTTTCTATTATTTGTTTGTCCGGAATTAGGATTCCACTTCGCATGTTTAATAAAATTATGATGAATTGTCTAAAATATCTTAGAGATAAGGTAAGGGCATTGTAGAAATGAATGAGTGCCAAACTCATTTGGATGACTTATTTGACATGTTAAACTCATTAAATGAGATTTTTTAGAAAGTGAACAGCTAAACCCGGACGGAGCGAATAACATTTTGGATGGCTTGAAATCATTTTTGTGTGACGTAGCCTTCTTGAATATACAATATCCACCTCATTACAAAACTTATGTTCATTTTTTGAATAGAGATCAGTTCTTTTGACACCGACTACCAGTGTCATTTTATGACACCAGCCCATTTGGTGGTTCTACGGAGCACCATTCAATCCCAAAATAGTTCCTACACTCTCTAACCCCCCCATCCCCACCCCACCCGCCTATAAACCCCACCCCCCTAATCGGGTGACAATCAACTGAAAATTTTGACCTATTGAAGTGTATGTTCATTTTGGGTTCTAGTTCGTATTGTTATTGCTATTTAATACTCTATACCTTTTTCTTTTTGTACAGTTAGATATCCCATTAATGAAGTGCCAAGTCCATGGTCTAAATCTCTTGCTTTCAGCTCCAACAGTCCTTTTTTCAGGTGCATTCTGGATGAATGCAGTGTGAAAAGATATTTCTTGGTAAGAGATGATTGTGTTGTTTTTACACACAAAACATCATATAATTTTATTATTTACCCTTGCGACTATGGTCGAAGTTATGTTTCTGCCTGTTCATTTGCAGAAAATCCCCAAAGCGGCGTGTCCTGTAGACATGTTTCCGAGCGAAAAAACAGATATTATCCTCCGCAACTCAAATCTACAGTTCTGGATAGTGAAAGTTCAACCCACCATGGAAGCATATACATTTCAAACAGCCGGGTGGCGTAAGTTTGTTCAAGAAAATGATCTCAAGGAAGGATATGTTTGTGTGTTTGAGCTTTTGCAGATTAATGAACTGCTGGTTCATGTGTTTCATTGAAACTTGAGGTAACGAGAGACTTGATCGCTTATCAGAGCTGTTTGAATTTGATTCTGATGGTGTTCTTGTTTTAGAATCAGAATCAGAATTCGATTATTTTCTATGATAGAGTCTTTCCTTCTTAAGAAGTGTATTGTTTATGGATTTATATTCATATTTTAAAGTCAATTATTGTGAATGGTTTTTATTGTATAAAGTCCGGCTTCCTGATCTTTGTTGTCTGCTGCCTGGCTTTGGACTTGGGTAGTCGGCACTGTCATGGATTATGATTATTGTTGCCTTAGTCTTTTTAATTTTGCTAGTATTTATTTATTTATTTCTTTCTTTCTTTCTGCATTTGCTTTAGAACTTTTGGGTGTGCTGGATGTTTGTTTCATCAACCAAGACTTTGCTTTATTTAATATGGAATTTTTAGAAAATGCTTGTTTTTAGCAAATAAATGAAAGGTGGATTATTTAAGGTAAATTTTCTTTTTTTTCATTTTTGAAATTTCTAACATTAAATTTAAATGTATTTTTTAAAAATGTTTTTATAAAAAATACTCCTTATTGGAAATATATATATTATTGAGTACCAATTCGGGAATTTAATCTATTACTCTTTAAAAAATGATAATACAAAACTTGTGAATATTTTTCGATAATTTTGTATAATGTTTTTATGCAAAACAGCATTACAACAGTTATGAAAATAACACAACAAATTTTTCCTAGAATGATACTTTTAATTTTATAGCTCACTACATATTTTGTTGTATTATAATTTTTTCATGAACAATGTGAGTGTTTGTTTATCGATACTTATCTATTACTCGTACTATTTTTTCTAAAGTGGCACTACAAAATTTGTGATTTTTTCGATAATGTTGTACAAAGTTTTTTTCCAAAATAACAATTCAAAAGTTGTGAAAATGACACGGTACTTTTTTCTCCAAAAGGGCATTAATTATTTTTATAACTCACTACAACTTTTTTGTATTGTAATTTCTTTCTCGAGCGATATTCTGAATTATATTTTGATAATCCAATATTATATTTCCCCCATAACAGAATATAATTTTGTAAATTGTTAGTATTTTTTTAAAAAAATTGAGACAAGTTTTTAACAAAAGTGTACTGTTATATTTTTAATAATATAAATTTTAAATTTGACCTTGTGAAAATGACACCGTATTTTATTCTCCAAAAGGGCATAAATTATGTGTATAACTCACTACAACTTTTTTATATTGTAATTTTTTTTTTGAGAGATATTCTGAATTATTTTTTGATAATCTAATATTATATTTTCCCCATAACAGAATATAAAATTTGTAAATTGTTAGTATTTAAATAAAATTGAGACAAGTTTTTAACATTAGTGTATTGTTATATTTTTAATAACATAAATTTAAAATTTAAAATTAAAAAACAAAAAAAGTAAATTTGCCTAAAACAATATCATCTCCCATTTATTCGTGAAAAATATGTATTTTTCAAAAATTTTGTTAAGTGGCCATTAACTTCTTAACAGTGACCCATACTTGCATACATGCAAAAAGCTGAGATTATTTTCCATGACAGTCAAGAGTGATATTATTTTTGAAAAAAACGTGAAGAAGTGGGATTACGTAAGATAATTTTTCTTATGAAAAACTGAACGAGTGAAAAATATGTTATATATATATATATATATATATATATATATATATATATATATATATATATATATATATATATATATATATATATATATATATATAGGCGAGTTCACGTGAGAATGCACTTTGGTGAAAGAAATAAGAATAAAATCTAGCATTTAGATATGATGTATCGTGCGGCTCAAATTGCATCCTGTGCTCAGATTTTGAGATAGTGCATTTTTAAAGGATTTTGGTGCATTTCGACGTGACGCATTTTCAAACCATTTTGATGCATCAAATTTTGATGCAATCCTGATCCTTAGATTTCTCAATCTAAAGCACTAGATTCATTTTTATCTATACTTTATTTAAACAGACATGGAGTCAATATTGTGTTTTCCCACCCAAAAACTATGGCCATTACATATGGTAATGTGAATTTAAAATGGTAAGTGTGCGAAATTATAGTTATATAAAATTTACGTTCTATAAGTATAATTATTACTGTATATTATATTTATAATAATTAACTGTCATAATTATTTAGAATTACCATTTTTAAAGTAAAGAAATAAAAATCTGGAAATTACCATTTTTAAAATTTTTCTCCTTTAATGATAAAAATTTAAAAGTATTATATTTAATAAGACTGATTATTATATAAAATGGTAATAAGGTAGACCGACGTAATTATAAATTATATAAAAAAGGTAATTTCTGGATTTTTATTTCCTTACTTTAAAAATGGTAATTTCAGTCTTAATTTTTCTCCTTTAATGATAAAAATTTAAAAATATTATATTTAATAAGACTGATTATTATTAAAAATGGTAATAATGTAGACCGATGTAATTATGAATTAAATAAAAAAAGTAATTTATTAAGACTAATTATTATTAATAGGCAAAAATTATTTATAAAAAAATATTTATAAGCTTTAATACACGCCAATCAATGCTATTAAAAATAGAAATCACCCTAAATAGAACTAAAACATAGAGAAAAGTACCAAAATAGAACTTTCATGTTCTTTTTCCCGAAATAGGACTTTCCACTGTGGTAATGTGACTTTGTATTGTGGTAATGTGGTAGTGTACATGTGCACATTACTATACATTTTTGGTAATGTATATGACCATGTTTGGTAATGTAAGTCCTATTTCAAGAATAAAAACATTGAAGTCCTATTTTGGTATATTTTCAATTTTTAGTCATACTTTGGTCTTTCTCCTAGACCTGATCAAAGTGCGGGTCGGGCCGGGCCGAGACACTACTTTACAAAAATTTTATAGGCCCGAGCCCGGCCCGTATAACGGGCCTAACAATTGAAGCCCAAGCCGGCCCGCATGGTTACCCACGGGCTTCGGGCCGTCCCGGCCCGACCGACAAAAACTTCTAAATAATTTAAAAATATTTTTTTAAAAAAGTAACAAGTTAATATATTACATATTTGATATAAAAACAATTATGAGTAAATGAAAGAAAAATTGATATATAAATATATTTTGTTTGATATTGCTACTATGTATGGAGTACAAAATATTATCTATTGGAATGTCATAATCAATATTTGATACGTTGCAAACAATACGGAGTAGTAAAGATGCATTCATTTTATTATAAATATTTATAGTTTATTTTTTCTCTCCATAGAAGTATGTATGTGTGTTTATAATAATTTAAAATAGGTTTGTTCTTTATTATTATTATTATTAATGTTGTTATTGTTATTTTATTATAATTATATTAAATATAAATATTTAATTTTTTCGGGCCGGGCCAGCCCGTGGGCTTGAGCATAAACCTGAGCCCGGCCCTAAAATATTCGGGCCGCCATTTATAAGGCCCAAGCCCGGCCCGTGATCGGGTCAGATACCCGGGCCCGTGTGATTATTCTCCCTATTAAAAATGTGTGTGTGATTATTCTTACCATAATTATATAATTACATGATTACCGTGTGACTAGGTTATATAAAAAACATGTGTATGATTATAGTATAATATAATTATGGTAAGAATAATTATACACACAGTTTCGAAGAAAAAAAATTAATACGGGAAAACCCTTTAAATATATATTTATATTTATATTTATGTTTAATAGAAAGAAAGGTAATAACCAAAAAATGTAATAATTATTACTCCGTACAATTATTACCTATATAAATGGTAAGTGTCCGAAATTATAGTGCCCATTTTTAACCTGTGCACGAAGTATGTCCATTACATATGGTAATTGTGAAGTTAAAATGGTAATTGTGAAGTTAATATAATTATTTTTTTATAATAATTAACTGTCATTTTTAAAGTGTCCGAAATTATACTAGCAAAAAGGTAAGTTATAAAATTGGAAAGCTTAAGTTTTTATTAAAATTGTAATCTTACGTGTGATTTTAATTATATTAATTTTAATTTAAAATTATATGTTACGTGTGATTACTGTGTCAAATTAATTATAGTAATTAAATGTTAATTACCGTATCAAATTAATTATAGTAATACCTGTGATTACCGTGTCAAATTAATTATAGTAATTTTAATTAAAATTGTATATTAAGCTATTAATGAAATCTAATATTACGTGTGACTACATAATTGTATATTAATTACCGTGTCAAATTATTTATAGTAATTTTAATTATAGTAATTTTATAATAGTAATTTTATAATGGCTATATTTTAACTATAGTGGCTATATTTTATAATAGTTATATTTTACTATATTTTAATTATAGTAATTTTAATAAAAAAAAGGTAATAATTAACCACGGTATTAATTATATAACTGTGTGACTAGATAATTGTATACTCTGTATTAATTACCGGGTCATTTTAATTATAGTAATTTTAATTATAGTAATTTAAAATATAATAAATTAAATAATTTAAATATAGTAATAGTAATTTAATTTCGTTATAGCACTTTGAAAAATGAATAATTTTTTTTTAACCCCGTATGAAAAAATCATATTATAAATACATCCATTTACAAAGCTTTCATAGCCATTACATTCATGATGAAGCTACGAGCAGTTAGAGTTTATCACAGGTTTCCGTAACAATAATCCAACATATTTTAGACATGGACAACTCTATGTTGCAGTTTCAAGAGTAACTATTTGTAGTGGGCTGAAGATTTTGATATACAATGAAGACAATATTCTCACAAATTGTACAAATAATGTACTATATAAAGAAGTTTTTCGAAATTTGTAAAGCAGTGATGTTTTGTATCTTAAAATAATATAATCTCTATATTCTATTGCATCTCATTTTTTATCATTGAAAAATAATTTGAATTTAATAATATAAAAATGACCCGTGCAACGCACGGGTGTGATACTAGTTTCTTTCATAAGATCACATTCTCACAAGAACAGACACACACACACACACACACACATATAGATACATACATACATACATACATGTATGTATGTATGTATGCACACACACATTCTCATTTATAAATACCTAAAGAAAGTAATTTATAGCATTTGGCTAAAATTATATTAATATACTTGAGTTATTTTACTAAATTAAAAAATAAAATTTACATATTAAAAAATAATATTAAAATTTTATAAATGAAGAGTTAATTTTATTTTTCTAAATAAGTTGT